AGGATTTAATAAACTATATTAGGAAAAATGGGAAGTCAGGCTAGATTGCTTACCCGCAGGACAATTGGGTTAGTCACTGCCGTCCGTCTGAACACTCACTCCTCAAATAAATGAATTGGAGAACAATGGCATGACTGTAAATCAATTTATCGAATAGCAACAGGTTCGAGGTGTAGGCATGCCAGCAGACAAGAGAATATTTTTCGTATGTAAGAAGAGTTTCGAGACTACCAGTAAATCAGTAATATGAGATGATAAAAATGCCCTTTGGAAGGCTAGGCTATACGAAATTCAAATTCGTATAATTGTGGGAAAATTAAACTTTCAATCCTACATCAGCTCAATGGGCCATTGTGTGGGAGCGCCTGGATACTAAAATTATTAGCATACTAAGATGGTCTCATCCGGTAGGACTTAGTGTTCTGACGAGAATCAGCAGTCGTCTTCTATTCAGATCGACCTACGAATCTTTTAATCATGCATTTTCACATAAAATGAAAGTCTCCCCAATATTGTTATATCAGAAGATGGTTTGAAATCGTTTTTTTCGTAAATGGATTTAAATTCGCGTAGTCTTGCCAGGACAATTAATTTCAATCTCACCCTGAAGCCTACATACTCACCTGATGGTAGGGCACCTGATATATCCTTCCTTGAAATACCCAAAGCGACCTAGGCTGACTAATTTATTATTTAATAATATAATAATGCTGTCTGTGGAGATAGGAATAATCAGTGCTTGTCGAAGTTGTTTGGGGCGAAATCAGATGTGATAATGTACATTTGATGGATCCGACCGTGTATGATGATGCCGACACTTGACGAGCCGATAGTGCAAAATTGCGGAAATGTTTGTTGGAGCAGCTGGACGTGGATGGGCTGTGCTTCGGCGAAAACCTGTTAGAGCTCTCCGGGCGGATGGTGCAGACAAGATAGCCTCGGAGACAAGGAACTCTTTCCGTAAAGAAATTATTGGGTCTTGTGGGGAGCTCTCTGCTGGTAATGTCGAGGAATTGTCTGACGGTTTAACTCTAAATATGCTTAGTGAACCGGAGTCTAATGACAGGTGCAAGCATATACGGTTGGTACTAGCCAAACTTAAACTGTGTAATGCTCGTAGGCTAGTTGAGTTTGAGTGTGAAAATCAGGAGAAATGTGGATGAGTGAATTGGTGCAGATTATACCGGTTATTAAATGTGTCCGATTGAGGATAGATGTATCAATAATGAAACATGTTGCATTAATTTGACAAACTTGTGTAGATCGATCTTGCGCAGCACCAAATAATGTACCGATGTGATGGATAACAGTGCAGTACAAAGAGTTACAAAATCACATATTTCATCAAATGATTCAAGGGAAAAAATATAAAATATACTCATATCGAGACATGCATTTTGTCTACATTCCGACACTTTACGGTGAATTGGGGTAATCGGAACTCGCACATGGAAGAAAGACTTGCACGATTGTATGCGGAGATGTGGGGGAGTGAGTATTTTTCTGTATATTTGTCTTACCGAAATTGAAAAAGATCATGTTAATAGCTTAATTAACCAGAGCAAGCTGGCATATTCAATAGTTTTGAAAACATCAATGAACCGTGCATGAGAATCACCCCACAGCGCCTAATGTGCGGAAGGGCTGATGGTGAAATTTGCCAACATTGATACAAATAGGCCTTACGATACCACTGATTTGGCTTAGCCTCGCCTCCTGGAAGGCTTTCTCATCCGGGCTGGACTGAACTGGTCTCATCGGCAGCACTAACGGGACTCGAACCCGGGTAGTGGCAAACTGCCATAGAGGCCAATTGGTTCCAGGGCCGACCTGACCCTCAATGTTCTTCCCATATCACATTTATGGTGGGATTGTCGATGAGGCAAAATTATATTCGGCAGTAGTCTCGATACAGTCACTAGATAATGAATAGTATTTCTAGTCACCTTATGTCACACAAGCTGATGAAGGGTGCAATTTATCCAAAGAGACATAACTAGGACTCACGATATCATTTAACTTATGCAGGATAAGTCGACCAAAAGGTATCTTGACTAAAAATATTTTCCATGGTGTTATCTGACTTCGTTTTCGCAGCTTGGAGCTTAGCTAGTCCTACGCTCTCTGTCAGAGTATTCGTGACAATTTGCAGCATCGGACTGTTGAATCAGTACATGTCAGTTAGAGGCTCCCTCCTTACCACAGAGTTACAACTTAGCAGAGCGGCATAAGTTGCAAAATGTGATAATTGCATTTTTCCACAATGAAATGAACAGGCCTCATTTTTCTATTAACATTTGCATAGCCTCTACTATCAAAAGGCATAATCATCAGATCTTTCGTATACAAGCAGAGTCTCAGGACTACCAATGCGAATACATCTCATTCATTTCACACATTCACTCAAATCAAGATCGTCACAGAAAATTCCAAATATTAATTGTGTAGCCTAAAGATTAGTGTACAATTATTAATAGGTGTGGATACTCGGTCGCACTGAATGACGAATAGGCCGGCTTTTACCTGAAAGTTATGTTTGTCGTGAAAGTCAACCGGACCAGGTTAGCCCATGAATACCTGGTTCGAATCCTGGTGTGGATGTTGATTGTACTTTAACCTGGTTATTACAAAGCGGCCTTTGCTTCGACTCATTTTGGCAAGAATTGCTATCATTTAGTGTCGCATCGAATGGAAATGGTGCGTAATGGCAGTAACCATAGTCCGAGTAGAGGCGAGCAAGCGAGGCCTGATAATATTTATGTAAGTATGGGAACTAAATATTAATGTAATGAGATGTACCGATGTGATGGATAACAGTGCAGTACAAAAAGTTACAAAATCAGATATTTCATCAAATGATTCAAGGGAAAAAATATAAAATATACTCATACCGAGACATGCATTTTGTCTACATTCCGACACTTTACGGTGAATTGGGGTAATCGTAACTCGCACATGGAAGACCCTACCTTCATATAAATATTTATGGTTTAATGCCCCTCAAAAACATTCCATAAAACAAATGGCATCCCAGAGTCTAGTCTTGGGAATTATATGTTCCCTGAAGTCCTCGAATTAGAGCATGCAGTCAAGACTACTCTCCTCTAATCGTCCAATTTCTCCCGTCAAAGAGGCCCCGTGTGCTTTTACACCCTTTCCAGTTTCCAGCAAAATTGTATTTCACAATTACAATGCACTACGTTGCTTATGTTCATACTTAATAGTTTCGTGAGGGCCAGAAGATCTTGAATAGGAGTTATAGACTCTCCATGTCCCATAAGGGAATAACGAACTGATAGTTGAATTTTCCCAAAACAAGATTAATAGATACGAAGTGAAACTTGGTTTCGATGAATCTCCTCATCTGGTGAGCTCGAAAAACGAATCTCTTCTTCATGTACTTTCATTCGAAATGAAAGTCCCCCTAACAAGATTAATAGGCCTCGCGACGTGGCTTAGAGTTACCAACCGATCTCTTCATTGCACTGAAAAGCATATCTTCATGAGGACTTTCTCGCTCTCTCGCTTCACTCAAGCCCTTGGTTTAAGCCCTCACAAGTCGATCATAAATTGGTCTCTAAGGCCGATGCATATCTGGGCTATTTTTTGCAGACGCACCTTTTTCAGAGGCACTGCCATCTGAACTTTGCAAGTGCCTCTGGAAGTCTCTAAGTCACTAGAGTCATCGCAGAAGAGAGGTTCGTCTTCAGCGTGCCTCCTCCTAAATAGGGAACAAGGTCTCTCTTTATTACATGCAACAAGAGACCTTAGTGGAGCGCCCTTCATAACGACGTATACTTGGCCGCAAATTTAGCTATCCCCAAAAATGTGTTGCTCTGAAAGTGACACCGTCTTGAACACTTGGAGGGCCTATTTGGTGGCAAAAATTGTTCTCAGCAGATCTATTAAACGTTATATAGAAAATTTATTGAAAAAGGATTTCGACCCAGCCTAAGTTGCTGATGGTGCATTCCTACATTTTTCGTCCGATTTCTCTTGAAATTCATTCCCGACATAGACCGTGGCTTCTACCTCTCGCGAGTCTTCTCAAAATCCTCCAAAGAGAGTCGAAGCTGGGTCGTGAGTATCAAATGGCAATGTTAGCTCTCCGCCATAGCCAAGCATGTTATTGGTTCACAGGACAGAATGGCTCGAAAAAGCCTTTTATTCCTGATGAAAACAATGGCATTTGGGAAATTTTGCGAATTGCAGCTCTTAATCTTTAGACCATGTTTAACAACCTGGACTGACTCAAGTTCTTATTCAAGATTTACTGATAGTTTTACAGATAGCTGTAGATTAAATCACAAGGTCTAGATTGTTCGACCTAAAAAAAATATTGAAAACCGATAATAACTGAAATATATCTCCATTCGTGCTCGGTGATTTCTAACAGTTGGCAGCAAGAATTCATAAAATGTCGACTTTTGCACAGGTGTCCTCAATAGACTTCACGAGAGCAAGTCACAACTTGCCTTTTCACATATTTAACCTATTCAATGGCAGATTGACTTATTTAGGGGAACATTTGTTAAGAATTACTCAAGTGTAAAATTTGACCTTATACAACAATCTTTATGATAATCAAGAAAATTTCCATAGAATATTCTTTTCTGGTCTTTCCTTACAATGATCTAAGGAGACTTTTTGAGTTAGTATCTTTAACCATTTAATAATGACAGGCATACGTTTAACCGAATTGTGTTCCAGACCTTGATTCTGACATAAATAATATTTTGAAATTGGACATTTGTATACAATATATTTTAAACGAGACTACCAGTTAATCAGATATATGCAATGTGTTCACTCTATTTGGTCAAAGGTTATGAAGGATTGGTGGTAAAATTTTCCACCCTGGATGAGAATACTTTCTGGCAAGCAAGACTGTATGAAACGTAAGGTCTATTCATATCAATGTTGAAAAATTCAACTACCAGTCCTTCATAACCTCAAACGAAATATCGTGGATACATCTCATATATCTGATTTACTGATACTCTTGAAAGCCTACTCACAAATGAAAAACTTATGCTACTTTA